GATTTCGGCACGGACAATGAACTGTACGCCTGCGATTACTACAAGGTTGATGGAACCATGCCGTTGCCGGTACGATGGATGGCATGGGAGTCGATATTTTTGGTAAGCTGTGGCCTCGACTTATTTTATTTCGAAATGGCACTTCACAATGTGTCGAGATTTATCGGTAATTCTCGAACCGCTGCAGGTCGAGAATTCTCTCGAAATTCTCAAATAATGTACGTTAAATCCGATTTTCAGGGAAAGTACACGACCAAGAGCGACGTGTGGGCTTTCGCAGTCACCCTCTGGGAGATTTTGAATCTTGGCAGACGTGTCCCCTACGAACATCTGTCCGACGAGGAAGTGGTGCAGAGCCTGCGGCAACTGCATCATGCCGCTGACTGCAGCAACGCCAATCCTGAAGACAGTTGCAAGGAAGATCCTAGAAACGGCTTCGATTATCTGCCTCGGCCCACCGCCTCCTCGAAGGACATCTACGATCTGATGCTCGAGTGCTGGCAACGAGAGGAAACCGAGAGACCGACTTTCCGTGAGATATCGCTCTTTCTGCAGCGGAAAAATCTTGGATACGCTCCAACATCCTGATATTGAGCCCCGAATTTCAGCGAGCGCGACATTCTTAATAGTCATAGAAATCGGAACAAGTTCGTTTCTGAAACGGAACGACGAGTGTGCAATGACGGGCAACGTTCTTATCCGAGGTACTGCAAGAAATAGCAAGCGTATAATGATTGAGTGAGAAGCAGGATTGAGGAAGGAAGGCGAGAGGTACGATGAGAGGACACGTTATGTATCGCGACATCGAAATGATAAGTACAACACAATGGAACTTTATTGTCCGTCAACGAGACAAGGCTTTGAAACTTGGAGTTTACGACAGAAATCGATCGTCTTTCTATTTCGTCTCCCCATTCATACGTGTACTTTTTTCGGACAACGAGTATTAGCAGACAGGAAATAAAGTTAGAATAGTGAATAAAGATAGAAGAGTTAAGATACGAGTTGAATCTTTGAGAAAATCTTATGATACGGGATTTGTTCAACTACGAATAGTTCAAGGTATATCGCGTGCCGCGCGTACAACTGATCTTCGTAGAATCTTCTCAGTAGCGAGACTGTTCGAGCATATCTAATCGATTTAGGACACCAAGTACGGATCTCGACGCGAGTATCTTCACGTGGCAGAGTATCGTGCAAAGATCTATACCGGAATAAACCTATTAGGACTCTTTTCGAAAATGTAAGAAAAGACAAGAACGGACGCGAATTCAAATGAGAACACGACAATCGAACGAGAGCGGAATAAAGAGTTTGTCGTAGATAACCGCTCGGCAAAGAATCTCTGAGGGTATTTGAAGGAGATTGGACGTTTGTGAGATAATGAAAGCGAGGAAAATATTCTCTCATCAGGAATTTAGGAGCAATATCATATGTAATTGTAATACAACTGTGAACATTCCTGCACGGATGGGTACCTATACTGCGCAATTAGACAATTACGCAAATAGGAAGAATCGTTACTTAAAGATTAGGGCTCCTTCGGGATTATATCATTTTGATTAAGGGTTCGATGAGAAATGTGTAAATCACATTGACGTACGGCAATATAGCAGCTACGATATTAGACGCTACGACTGTTCGAGTTAATATCGTAAAGCATTATAACTGTATTTTATGAACGTGTGGGTGCCTATTTCTCCCTTTCTCTTTATCGCTCTCCTTTACTCTCTTTCAACGTATTATATTGGTATCGTCCCCAGACACTCTGGGCCTATTTGTGAGACGAATCTACATGTGATTTACATCGTGAAATCCTTTATCGTCATAAGACATATCGCGAAATGGCGAAATAACTATTATCGTGATGCAATGACGCATCAATGAATTATCTGATAATAAGAAAATTAAACGTCTTTTTAACAATAACCTTTTTGGTTCGTATCTAAACAGAGATTGGTGTGAAACGTAATACATGTGAGAATACTGAATAATTTCAGAAGCAGTCAAGTGATTGTAAAGATTTCTCGATAATACATGTTTATTCGAATGTAATTACTGCAATCACAGTTAATGTGAATGGGATTTGTTGTCATAACTGATGAATATCATACGTCGTAAGCGTAAGGTAGATGAAGGGTAACGTTTTACCTATTCTGCATTGGAAGAAGGTAATAGATTACGTATCATGACTATGACACATCATAATTGTAACTTTATATGATAGGCGGGATCAATGAAATTAGAATATTGTATATATAGGCGTATCGTAGTAAGGAACGTTATCATTACATTTTTTCAAGAATGACGAGTGAAAATCGAATTGTCTTTGAGATAACGAGAACGCCACACGCGCTCGCTTGTAATTTGATATTAATGTGGAAACGATGGCAATTGTTTAGCTTCCGGTAAGTTATATATCCATAGCAAGTGGTAATAGGTTGACGAAAGTTTAACATATCGGAATGTACTTTCTTATAAAATTTAAAAAGAGAAAATGCGCGAAGAAAAGTGAGTCGTAATCGCTTTCAAACACTTCGAAATTAACGGGCTTATATCCGTTGCACGTTTCCGTTGTACTCAATTTCGATAATATATGTATTTCGATTTATTTTAAGTTCCGTGTATTTATACCAGATGGACTATTATAAACTTATGCGATATTTAGCGGATAGACGATGTTACCGTTATATCATTAAAATACTATTTATATAAATTAACATAATACCGCGTAAGGAGTAGAGATGGTACGGAGGCATAGCCATACGTAGTTGAAATATACGCGTTGAATTTAAACGTAACTGGAATTGCTTCTATATCACCGAAATCGAGATCGTCTAAAGCGAGCGGAAGAGAATTATAATTAATGCGAATTCGCGTGTAAATTTACGAGGTAAGAAATAGGCAATACCAATTTTTGATCTTGCCAGAAGTAAATAGTAATAGCCAATCGATTAAGCCTAAGATTGTTAAGTCTAATTTACATTTTGCATAAGAGTATCGGATGATCAACAGACATATAATTTCGTGTTATCGCGAAACGTTTTGGCCAATCGACTTTTCGCACCGATTGTGACTGAGTTGAAACAATAATACTACACCCATCTCTCTCGTACATTTTTAGTCCGAAGCAAACTGCCATTATATTTCTAGATGATAATAGAAAATGAATTGTAGTTGCGTTTAGATTCGCCAATATAAGCATAACGCTGCCTTTGGCTATATTGTTGCCCTTTACTGCTAACGAGTAACTTACTTGTCTACTCATGTGATAATTTAGTATATTTCTACGTATCTACCTGTACCTACCAATTCAAAAATCTTCATGGCGAAAGGATTATTCCAAATTACTTTGTTTTTACTATAAATCGTAGTTCAAATAAAATATTATCTATAACCAATTCTATATTAATAAAAATCTGAAAGGCAGAACAATTACGAAGAATGATGAGAATACAGATTCTACGTTAAGAAGATCTAGCAGCTTTATATAAATCCAAAACGCAGCTGCTCCATAATTTATTAGTTAGTGACGTTAGTGAAATAGGATAATATACTTATAAAGAAAATATGCGTAATCCTTTCTCTATGCAAAGATTTGCTATTATAATCTAGATAACTTACTTCTACCTAGCGTGCCCTTTTTCCAATGATGATTAATTGTATTCTTTGTGAACAATTCGAGCTCTATCAATGGCATCAATGAAGTAAATGTTTGGAACTGCAGTAACAGGGACGAGTAAAAATATTTGGTTCGAGCATTGTGAGGTACGAACACGCTAGATCCTTATGAAATTTCATTTTTTGAAGACCCTACATATATTGATAAGCTCGATTTCAAATATCGTCTTAATTGCAATGATATTTCCCTATTATTCAACTATATACATTGCTGATTTCTTCGATATACATTTTAAATGCGTATTATTGACAATCACGCTTGCCTCGGAATTTAGAAAATATATTTAGTATCAATCGCGACTTTTTTAATATACGATTACAACTAACAGAATTAACATTTTATAATTTATAAAATATAATAATTTAAGACACGATCTCTTCTTTATCATAAATCTTAATTCTCGAAAATAAATATAATTTTATTAGCGCGAAAAAGGAAATATTAGGTTTCTTACATACGTATAACAATCAAATAATATGCTGATAAAAATCATTTCAATTATCATGTTTTCAAGATAGAAACGAACGTTACACTCCGTTAAAGATGAACGTTATAGCTCCATGAAACTACATAATGATCATTAATATTGTCATTAATATTATGCATTCGCGTATATTATATACCATGTTATGCTTAATTTAGAAATCATTTCAGATAAATTTAAACTGCATCGTACAAAGTGGTATATCATTATGATTAAAAGATTACGGCAATGAAATTAATATATTTATAATCGTTGATAAATTTTTTCTTTCGTGCACGAGCGAAATATAATTTCGATATACCGTATTGTTGACCTCTATGGTGGAATTGCGAGGAATTTACAGGTAATCGTGGATAAACTGAGGAAGAGCTCATCTAGTTGTATTTTCTATCTAGGTAGGGGCAACACTCACACGGCTATATCACTCGGCTACGTATTGCACACTTTTAGACATTTCCTTCCTAAAAAAATTATCCGATAGACGAAATTCTCAGGATTAACACAAAAAAGTCTTCGATCTTTAACAAAAGAATTGCAGCGAAACTGACCATTGGCCACGGTGGGTTGCCCATGCCTGTTCTACGCTATCAAACCTTGATCGTTATAGTCATAAAATTATTTTGTACTAAGAACTGTTTATAATTTTGTATCTAATCTCTGTAAATATATCAAGCAGATTGTCTATGAGTAATAAAGCTTGAACAAACTCGATTTAAGTAGACTATATATATATATAAACGGGGAAAAAGTATATATATATATATATATATATAAATATATATAAATACAAGTATTTATAATACATTTATATTTTATTTAGTCGTAAGGCAGCGAAGAGATGTAAGTAAATTTCGCGTAAGCGGATCGGTAACGTAACAATGTACAACGATCTAGAAATTATTTGTATTATAAAGATGACAATTAAGGGACAAATCATAAAAGTATACATGTTACTCCAGTAGCCGTGTATATATATACATATACTATACTATACATCTAGAATCTACCTAGTCATGTACGGCACTTTATAACAATTAAAGTGTATCCCTGACAACAAATGCAAAATGCAACGTGTACTGTTCTTTGATGATTCTTGCTTGAATAGAGATAACAGAGAATACTGATGCGGTCGACAACCATCGAGGAGAGGTTGAACTTTTCAAGCGAATTATCATTTCAATTTCGCCGAACAAAGTTCGCTCGTCTCGATTACATTGCTACATATAAGGTGCAGGTAAATTCTACCGAATTCGTAAACTTTTGTGCGTCGTAGACCTGAACACATCATTTATATAACTTACATGTGTATATCATTAAAGAAATAACATACAACTTGTAAGTTCCATTATCCATTATTCATGAAGCACAACGATAAATCTATTTGTATTGGAAAATCAAAGTCATATCACTTATTTCATGGAATTCCTATCATCCCACAAGCTCTCTTTGCACCGTGTTACATTAATTTGTATCAATAATTGCACTAAAATACAATGCATGTAGCTTAAAAAAAAGAACAAAGTTTTTTCCGTCAAATAAGAAAATCACAATTTTCTTTTATTCTTTCTCCTTTATCGTATTTTATTTTCTTATAATTTATTCCGATTCCCGCTTTTTCCTTTTATCTATTGAGAGGGCGTTAGGTAGATTTGCAAGCTACGCGACTGTATGACTGACAGATCCCTAATAATATTCATTCGATGCTTGTATGAACGAATGAATGAATCTCATTATTATCAAACATAATAATTATATGTATAATGTTCGAATTTGTTTATTTAACTATAAATAAACTGAAGAAATGGTAACTTTGAGAATTTTACATTTGAACCGCAAAAATGAATGATTCACAAATGAGAAAATTGTAAATAAAGTGAAGTGAATTGAAAATTGAACGAAAATGCTGCCGCATACGTTGCATATGTAAAAACAAAAAAAACAACTATGAAAAATGTTTGCAAAAACAAAATAACTTAAATTCGCAAACAGAGGAAAAAAAATAAAAAAAAGTATTGTTT